ATCGACAACGCCGACTACAGTTTGCTAGAGACCACAAGCATTGGACGATAGAAGATTGGAAAAATGTTTTGTTTAGTGATGAGTCCAGGATGGTTCTTTGTGGCTCAGATAGTCGCATCAAAACATACAGAAGACGTGGGGAACGATATGCTGGTTGTGTTCGACGAGTACGTGTTGCTTTTGGAGGCGGTTCGGTAATTTTTTGGACAGGCATTTCATTCGAGAGCCGTACTGATCTCGTATTTATTGATGTAGTATTATTCCTAAAATATTATCATTCATATAAAGAATAAGTCAAAAGAAACGTGTGTAACATAGTTTCGCAATTTGTTTATATAAAATATGTTTAATAATTTGAATCCACGACATTCATAAATATCCTCGAATTAGAATTTGTAAGTCAGCAAATTCCCAATCACGACACACGGTTGTCGTAGGTCGTGAACAAACTTGACACACTAAGAAATAAACTGCTGATATATACAAGGCCTACTATAAAAGTAACAACAATCATTATCTCAGGGATCAGAACTAATTTAACGTCAAGATGGCAAGTTAATATATCGCATATTGACACAACTTCAACTAAGTACTAATTACATTTAAGATAAGTAACGTGGTAAGAGTGTACAGTAGTGTTTTCAATAAATGTACCATACGATACCATAAGTAAAGCGTTATTTATTACAGAGCATTGAATTGAGTTATTTTTTGACATTTGTTATTTAAAAAATTATTGCATACTGCTTTAGAACATATTCTTAAACATTTAATGACAATCACTTTGTGATATGATTCGTAAAAATTAAAAAATGGCAAAAATTTTGGGTGGTCTCATTTTCGTGATGCGCAGTGTATATAAGGCAAATATGTCTATTACCATTCATAGTGTCAAGTGATATGTCGTATGTCGCTATACATTCACGAAGACGATGTAGTGCCCTTTTGGAAGTTTCTTTGTTTTTTATTTATCTAAATATTTTCGTTATATCCTCTCCTTTTATTTCCAATTTCGCATGTTAGAATTCGATGAGTTGTTTATTTTGTACTCAGCTTGAGGTTTTCTGTAAGTAAATCAATCAGTTTATTCAGTTAGTGAGAAATACGGCCTGAGCCTCAACTTCAAGAAGACAAAGTGGCTGCTGATAAGCACAAGAGCAACAACCTGCTCGACAATTACGAATAAGTAACATACTAATTGACCATGTAGAATCTTATGTGTACCTTGGCACCAACGTAAATGCAAAATGGGAACAGGCCACAGAAATTAAGGCGAGAATAGAACGAGCTAGAGCAGCATTTAGCAATATGAAAAAGCTCCTCATAAGCAAGGGTTTGACTCTTCCCCTAAAACTACGTCTACTTAAATGCTACATTTTTTCCGATCTTACTGTATGGTGTGGAGGCCTGGACGCTGACGCTCACGAGAAAACTAGAAGCATTCGAAATGTGGGTGTACCGACGCATTCTTCGTATATCCTGGACCGAACATGTCACCAACATAGAGGTAATCCAAAGAATCGGAAAGGAGAAAGAAATCGTGAATACAATTAAACAAAGAAAGCTTGAATATCTAGGCCACATATTGAGACACGATAAGTACCGTCTACTGCAATTGATTGTCCAGTGAAAAATAGACAGTAAGCGAGGGCCAGGCAGAAGACACTCGTGGCTCCAAAATCTGCGAAAGTGGTTCGGGCTCACATCGGTCGAACTATTCAGAAGCGTCGTAAACAAGATCAGAATTGCCATGTTAATAGCCAAAGTTTCTAGGCCGCCCTACAGACCTTCTTCCATCTGCCCTTTCCCAGAACACATTGTTTATAAGGCGATTGTCGTTACTGAGTATCACATGCCCTGCCCATCTGAGTCTATTGGCCTTTATATATTCATTCTTTATATATTGAGCTAAAGGCCTTCTTTAATTCAATAAATCAAAATTTGTCTTTTAGGTAAACTATTTTTATCTATCGTGCCCTATGATATCTCGTATGTAATAATATGTTCACTAATAATGAAGACATTGTGTAGTGCCCTTTTGGTAGTCTCCTTGTTTGTTTTTTCTATCTTAATATAATCGTGATATCATTCCCTTTCTTTAAATGTATCACACGCTCCAATCGGACCAATAACAAAGGACATATAATGTAATGCCCTTTTTGCAATGGCGCTATATGTTTTTTCTATCTCAACATATTCGCTACCCCCTCTCCTTTCTAATGATGTATTATACGTCACGATCCGACGAACTATTCTACCCCACCATAAAACACTCAAAAAATGAGCAGAATGAGCCTGAGCATTTTCTTATGGGATTTTACATTGGAAATGAAGCAGAAACAGTATAGCAAAGGTTTTCAGGTATACCTTTGAGTTAATTTTATTTAATTATTATTTAATTCTAAGTAATTCTGTTTAACTTGATTTAATTTTATCTAATTCTATTTACCTTTATATAATTTTATTTAATCTTATTAATTTTTAATTTTATTTTGGTAAAGCGTTGACGTTTGTTAAACGTCATTTTATTTTTAATCGTAAGTGTATGTTTATCTTACCCAATGAGTTATAAAAAAATATATTAAACGTCATTGATCTTACCTTAAAATTACGGTAACCTACACTTTTAGCAATTTTTGAAAAAAATAATGACTGTGAAGTAGTAAAATTTCCGAATAATAATATTTGAATCATCAATTTGCAGAATGATTGAAATGTCAAATGTTGTTCATAGTTGAGATTTCTTTCCTAGATAGCGTCGTTACTTTACTGGACAAATGGTGTGACTTTTCATAATAGCCTTTTATATAGATTGCTGAAAACAACAAAGGATCGGGGAGAATACAAAATCAATCTGTTTTTGCATTTTTTTGTTCTCACACAAATATAAGTTGAATATATTCAACCTGTAAGCTACATTCCTATCTAGAGGAATATAAACATCGGAGGGATAAAAAAGAATAATAGTCCTTAACCGATATTTTAAAAAATATATTTAAAAAATCTTATTTGGTAGAATAATTTTAATAATTAAACTAAAAAGTATCCCATTTTATACGTTAAAATTACTAGTTTTAAAAAAAGATCTACATATAATTAATTTAACAATTATAGGATCCTGATTCTTCAAGAATTTTAATATTAGTTTAAAATCAGTAAGAAAATGTATCGAAACAATATGTTAGATTAGATAAAGAAAGGAGATTTGGCAAGAATAATCTGAACATACAGTTAGATGTTTTATATAAACTGGAGGCTTTTGAAATGTGGATTATTTGTAGAGCACTAAAAATATTATGAACATATTTTCCATTTAACAACAAATCTCAATGAAATGAAAATAAAAAAACACTTGAGAGATAATAAGATGTTACAAAAACAACATATTTGAGCCACATGCGAAGTTAAAAACCCTACAACCCTTCCACAGTTGATTATAAAAAATATTATTCAAGGCAAATATCCACTTGGTAAAAGTTACAGGTCAGAACTTGGGAATATTATATATAATAAACTAAAAAGAATCTATAAAGATATGATTATTTTTATAGTCATCACCACTCTTTATTGAGGAGAAGGGATTATCAGAAGAATGAAACAAATGGAAAATGAAGTAAATTGAGACTTCATTTTTGATGATTTTAATGAAAAGGACTACAAATTGGTTTCAGATGGCGCAAAATCGGACTAAGTGGAAAATCTTACGAGAGGCCTATGTATAGCAGTGTACGTTATAGGCTGTATGTTGATGATGATATATTGATGTATTTAACAAACGACTTAAATTGACATTGACAAATAATGGTTTTTATTTTCAGATATGACCTCTACTTGAGTTTGCCTGAACACATAAGATTTTCATTTTTTAGATTCTTGATCATTACTTCAATATTTAAAACATTAAACTTCGCAACTGTCAACCAGGAGCGATAAATATTCAAAGAAATTTATACTGAATTGATGTTAAAGATTTAATTGAAAAATGATCAATTGAGAAGAAAAAGAGCACTGAAAAAGCAGGACCTACATTACATTGCATATGATCTTTTATATTATATGTATCTAAATGTTTAAATTTTCAGATCTTTAAAATACTAAATTTGGATTTGTTAAATATTAACAATTTATCAACCAACTACAGACATACAGAAAGTAATAATATAGCTTTGAAGTTAGCAACCGTCCCGTATATCAGGCTTGCTAACGATCAAACTGCACATTAAAGAAAAAGAAATAACTAAAAATTCATGGTCTATAAAGTGAAATAGCTTAACGAGGAGTACGTTCGGTATAATAGTAATGTTTATACCTAATAATTGTATTAAATTATAAATATTTTGGCCGTAAAAAGAAATTTGAATGAAAATATATGACTTTTATTTTTTCAAATGTAAAGCACAGGAGAGTGATCTTACAGTTGGTTTCATTCTCAAAGGATATAGTATAAATATTGCTGCATATTGTGAGATTTTAAAAAAGTTGCAAAAATCAAAAACAAAATGAGGGAAATGCTCACTTCTTCACTTATTCTTTCATAACAGCAGACCCCATACCGATCTGCAAACTCAGACCTGCTATTGTCGTTTGAATTGCAATTATAAATTACTCACTATGCTTCTAGATTAATATATTTTTTCTAAAGTAAACGAGTTTTTGTACAAAGATCGATTCCCAAAGGAGAAAGAGAAGGTTATGGAGATTGTGAAGAAAATACTTTAAAGAGATAAATTAGAAAGTATATAATGAGTTGATGGTAAAAACTGGCATCCACGCTTTAAACTTTACTCATTATGTGGGATTTGGAATATACCCCGTAAATTTCAGTAAAATATATCAATTTTTCATTTTTAACTAATGCTGTATTATTACTTTCTGGAATTCTCTTGAAAAAAGTTTGTATACATAAAAGTGTATGTGAGTATATCCACCAATGTATTCAACACATAAATCTTAAAAGTTTTTAGTACAAAATACGATGAACGATAAAATATACAATAGTTTTAGATTAAAAACACAAATCCATCTGATAACATCACTTGATTGTCATCTGTCATTCGTTCTATGGCAGCACTGATTTCGTTTTGGGTATATGGAGTGGGATTGTCGCTATTTATGAACTCTCTAATGCGACTTAGACTGAGAGATTGTGTCCTGTTTTCTCTGAACGCTTTTTGAAGACTACTTTTAAATGTTGTTAACCTGGAAATATAAATTGGATTAATGTTTAATGCAATTTAAAGAGAATAACATCAATAACGAGATGCTAAGTGTAGCTAGCACAGTTAAGTAAGATAATATTTTTTAATTACCTGTCAGTAGATATTTCTTTGGGACTATCATCAACTTCCATAGATTCACTGTCTTCCGTGTGACCATTTGTATGACCGTTGACGCCGTTAAGAACAGTTTCTTCTTCCATTGGTTCTACTCCAGAAACTGCAGTAGATCTGCTTCTTGTAGAACTCTGTGTGGCAATTATTTCATCATCTGAATCATCCCCTGCCTCTGATCTCTAAAAAAAATATGTTTGATTCTTTTTGTTTGATAAATTTGATTGACTTTCTATGCTTTTCTATGGGTGGGTGCTGATAAGCAAAAAAAAAAACAATCTGCTCGACAGTTACAGATAGACAGCATATTAATTTTTGTATAACTTACCAACGTAAATTCAAAATGGGAACAGGCCACATCAATTAAGGCGAGAATAGATCGAGCTAGAGTTCCATTTAACAATATGAAATAGCTCCCCATAAGCAAAAAAACGTGTTTGATGATGAAAGAATAGAAATTCAATTGAAAAATATATCGACTGGTCTAAACATAACCTTAGATGAAATGGAAAGAGCTACAAACCTATCAAAGAATAGGAAAACAACTGGACCAGACGAAATTCCCAGCGAAATAATGAAACTACTCATACACCAATATACCAAAAGTTGGCTACTGTAAATTTTTGTAATGATACCGAAAGAAATATGCGCTAAACAATGTGGATCGCACCATTAGTCTGATGAACCACTTACTGATTTTTTTTAAATACTGCATACAAGCACTTACAACAAAATAGAAGTTTAACAACTAGCAAACCTCAGGTTGGTTTCAGAAACAACATTGGAACCAGAGAAGCATTATTATCATGGTTCAAAGATGTAGGGATATAAAACAAGCTTATGTATTTTATCAACTTCGAGAAGGCCTTTGATCAAGTTGGCATTGATGACCAAGACCTCCATACTATCAAAAATTTGTATTGGCATCAATGTGCAAACATACGAATTAGTCAGAACACGACGGAAGCAGTGGAGATACGACGTGGAGTTAGGTAAGGGTGTATTTTATCGCCTATAATATTTAATATTTACTCCAAATTTATCTTCAAAGAAGCCTTAGATGAAGAAGCAGTCACAAAAATAAACGGAATTAATGTCAACAATCTCAGACACGGAGAAGACACATAAACAGGGTGACCGAACCGTGTGATAAATATGAGCTAAAACTTAATAATTATAAGACAAAACTTATGGTTCTCAGCAAAACGGAGTAACAACCAAGACCAAGGAACATCAGAGCGTGTGGAGAGTATTTGGGTACCAACGCTAACGATAACTGGGACATATAAAAAAAGAAAAATGCGCATTGAAAAAGCCAGAGTCGCCTTCTTCTTCTATAAACTAATGAAGATTCTAAATAATAAAGATTAAAAATTAAAAATTGGAGGCCATTGAGATGTGGATCTTCCGACGAATATGGACAAGTTGGGTTGATCGAATAAGAAATAAAATAGTTTTACAGTGAATCAAAAGGAGCATATAAATAACGAACAAAATTCGAAAGTTACAATATTTCGGCTATGTACACATCCACAGAGGTATATCCTTCTACACCCCATAATATAGGGCAAGATCGCCGGAAGATGACCAGGCTCGAAGAAGAACATCCTGTCTCCGAAATCTCCGAGAGTGCTATCAAGAGACATCCAGTAATCTGTTTCGAGCTGTCGTGAACAACGTTATTATTGCCAATATGATCGCCAACGTTCGATAATCGGACAGGGTATTGAAAGAAAAAAGAAGAAAAAACAAAGAAGATGAAAGAAGAAGAAGAAGAATGTAAAAAGAGACGACTTTTTAAATTATAATAAATTAGGCATTTGACGAAACTACTTGGAGAAATATTTTTTAAATAAATTATAGTTCCAGTCAGAACTGATAAACAATGCATTATAAACAATACATGAATGATCATAATTCCTACTAGCTGTTGGACTACCGTTGCAAGATCTGTTAATAATATTCTTATTTTGGAGTTTCAATCCTGTATACGACATTTATTTGTCAATTACATTGATAGTATTGTTCTGAAGCTATTTTCTTGTGGCATTGTAAATTAATTACTATTTATAACTGGGAATAAGCCACAATTAAAGATAAAAATACGTTTATTGACGTTTCAATTTCCAATTCGAAATTTTCTTTTTTTTTTTCTTTTCTTTTTTCAATTTCCAATTTCGAGAACGATTTCCGAATTGGAAATTGAAACGTCAATAAACGTATTTTTATCTTTAATTGTGGCTTATTCCCAGTTATAAATAGTAATTTACATTGAGTTTTTTAAAATTTAATGAACCCTTTTTGTCAACGTATCAGAAATCGACATATAACATTACTGTTTGTAGACTGGGTTGAGTTTACCGAAAGTACAAGCTGAAGATAGCCGCAAATGTCAACCATGAAATAAAATATTTCGGTTTGGTAGTGTTGGCATGTTTTTATATTGCATATATGTTGTATGTTTTAAATATAAAGAGGGAAAGCTTTTAAAAAGTACATTTTGATTATACTATTTTATGAAATCTGCAATTTTTAATTTATATGAAACAATAACAAGTAAATATTTGTCTCTTTCGAGATTAATTGCAAACATTTCTTGCAATCTGGCAACTGCTGATTTGACGATTGCCAAATCTATTACCTAATAATATCAAAGGGTAATTGGCAAAAAAATTTCTAATGATTAACTGCAATTAATCTCCAAAGAAACAAATATTTACTCATTCTTGTTTTATATAAATCAAAAATTGCAGAATTCAGAACATAATATAAACAAAATGTACTTTTCTAAAACTTTATCTTTTTATATTTGAAGCATACAGCATCTACATTATAAAAACATGCCAACACTGCTAAACCGAAATTTTTTGTTCCATATGTGACATTTGCGGCTATAATCAGCTTGTACTTTTGGTAAACTCAACCATATACTGTAAATAATAAACTAATACTTACAACTGGCCTTGCTCGTTTTTGTCTTTGATCTCCTTCTTCTTCCTCTGCGGAATCATATTCATCTCGTCTTCTACGTTTCTTTTCCTTTTCTAATACTTTCTTGAAATATGCATATTGAATCAGTTCAATTGCTTCATTCGCGTCTTCTGCAGTAACGGTTCTAGACATTCTGGCTTTTGCATGTGCTGTTGCCAGACGGATCATCGTTTCGAGGGTACGTGGAGTTACAGGTTGAGTCTGAAAATAATATATTATTCTAAAGTTATTTTTTTTGTAACATCTTAGTTTAATTTTTCGAATATCTCTTGGTAATAAACCAAAGTGTAAAATAAACTCTTCATCTGGGCTGAGAGAACAAATAAAGTTTCAGAATTTAGATGCGAAGGTTTTTGTATATAATTTGTATAGATTCCAGAGGAATCTGAAATAACTCAGCCAAAGAGAGACAAACAATAAGAAGAATACAACCAAGAATCCACCCGTCGTGTAGTAGTAGAGCCGGGCCTGTGAGTGGCAGCTAAATCATTAGTTCTGCACTTAGGCCATTCAATAATAAAGTGTTTATTATCTGTTTTCAAGAAACATTTTAACAAGACTTTAAAAATTAAGCCAATTGTTTTATCAAAATGGAATAAACTTACAGAGAACATTATTTAACAAAGAAAAAAAATTGTCAATGGGAGAAAATCTCTTTGGACCAAAGCTGTGATATGATAAAGGAGCATATCTCCAGCCAGGTTAGTACGTTAATATTAAATTAGAAGCCCATTTAGCTCACAGAAATAGGATTATGCCTTGGAATAGGAAGGATCCAACGATGATCACCAACATAAGAAAAGAAGCAACAAATTATGAAAAGCGAAAACATACTTCAAATCTATAATTGAAATGCAAAATCATTAAACACAAGACAACCAATACAAAAATCACCCAAATCGGGAAAGTGAAGCAAATAATTAAACTAATATCGAAAGGTAACCGAAAGTTCAAATGTAGTTTAATTTACTGGATAGGTTTATATTATATATCATCATTCTAAGATTGATTGAAAAATTACCTAACTCATTAAATAATAGTTTTGCAGGAGAGCTAAAAAGCTTTGTCAATTTTAAATTTAATTAGAAAAAACTTCAATTTAACACGTCGCCTGCCATCTCGGTCTATGTGACCGAGAAACAAGTGATCTCCACGCCAGCGAGGTCTATTTGACCGAGAATTTTAATGTAACTGTGGTTCCGTCTCGGTGACTATGGCGTGAACGGAAAGTATTACAAAATCCTTTACGGCAGGCAGCGTGTTGAATTTTATATTGTTTGTTTAAAAAAAAATTGTCAATGCATTATGTGCAATTTCATTGTAATTTTTTTCGCGTTTCGCATTCTGCAAAACTGTTTACACCGTCATTATATTTTTTATCTATGGTCATTATTAATTTGTGTTTACTTTTGCTGGTGAATTTTGTTGGCAGTGTTAAAAATTGTTTGTAGAGTTCACGTGTACGTATATTAATTTGTATTCGTATTTTTTGTATTCTTGTGAATTAAGATATTCTATTCTATTCAAACGAATCGCAATCCATCAAATTTATAAAACGAATTTATCTCTTAATTTTATTTAAAGTTTACTTTTGACATATTTATACACGCAAAAGCCAATGCAATGTTTAAATTTAATGTAAATCAATAACCTGTAAAAAACGGTATAGATATATTATAGCGAGAGTATTAGTTTCTGAACAGAAAAACGGTAATCAACATTTTTACATCTTAAAAAAATATATATGATTTACATTTTATAAGTAGGACAAATTTTCATAGAATGCATGATAGTCTTCCTTTAAAGAAAATTTAAATCCATTAAATGTTCAAACTTTTTCTTCTGAATTGATAAGGTACATCGTAAAGTTGGGAGACGCCGACCCCCAACTCCACGCCGATATTAAAACTTGGTAAAACTACAAAAATTCATCAAAACTTTAGGCTAGTTATATACTACAAATATTAAAGTTTTGATAAAATAATGATATTTCAATATTTCAAAAATGTTTTTTACATACATTTTCAATTTAAAAAAGCACTATAGTAGGAACCACGTTTTGTTTACAAACTACGATTACAGTTTCACTACAAATGCATATTTATTTTTAACGACAGAGACTTCGGCAAATTTCCTTTAATAGATTTATGGCGCGTAAATGTTCGATTAAGGATTTAGGCAGTTGTCAAGTCAAGTCATGGATTTGTACGTTTCTCACCAGATGGCACTAATACGTTTGTTTTGATCAAAAATGGACTTAGGCAATCAATTTGCATTTTAGAACGACTATATGCTATCTCCAAAGACTTTAAATAATGATATAAATACCATCAAAATTCAACATACTTATGTAGAAATGGAATGCTTTATAGGTAACTAAAAAGCGCAAATATTTCTAAAGATATTTACCCTCGCAACATCACTCTCTAAAACATCTTCAGATCTCAGTCTTGAATACTCATCGGAAATGATTTCAGAAGCTTCTTCTGTCAGAACAGGTTTTAAAATCTTTACGAAATTAATATATTTTCTCATAAAATCAACACTTAAAATCTTATCCGTTCTTCTACGACTTGCTCCATGCAATAAGGCATCATATTCTTCATACACGGGAGTTTCTTTACGATCTTCTTCATCAGGATTCATGGTACTTAACATTTCGACATTAGAACCCATGGGAAGGACTTCTCCATCTTGTTCCAATGGATTTCTGAAGAAAAAATGTATTAGTAATAGTAATTATAATACTATTAATGTAGTTTAAAAAAAAATTACCTATATCTGTGCATTCTGACAACGTGGTCCGAAATTTTTAAATCTTGATCTTCGTTTACTGTATCTAACATCACAAACAAACAATCAAAACGAGAAAGCAGCGAATCTTGAAGGCCAATGTTTTCCATGGGTGTTTTATATTGATCATACTAATAAAAAAATATATATTAAAAATTTCTAAAAATATCAATAAACTTTATAACTAACATAAAATTTTATTCATTATACAAAGTATCTCTTAATTAATTAGACATTAGATAAAAGGTAAGTGACAAAACGTTTAAGCTTAAGATGCAAAATAATACTCGTTTTCTTTCTATAGGGACTTTCAATAAAGTTTTTGGGATGTATTGAAAGCTAATAAACTGAGTTAAGTGAATTTTGGTATTGTATTAGTATTTTAGTGATGATCATGACGATCAGTCACTGCGAAGATAATCACCTAATCAGCTTAATGAGCCACATACTCAAAGTGTTCTCAAAAGTAATATATTAATAATCGAATTTATAACAAATGTGAAGAGAGAACAGGAGACATAGATAAGAGACAATTATCGATTACCAAAAAGCTTTTGACAATATAAAAAGACAATGTGTTGATACAAGTGTTAAGGGAGAATGGTCTTGATGGAAAAGATATGAGGATGATCCAACAGGTGGCTGTAATCAAAAGGCAGAATTAAGAATCTACATACAGAACAAGTAGAAATAAGTAAGTGCACGAAGCAAGGCTTACAGTATATTGCTTTATAAAGAATCAGTAGGTTCACTCTCACAATTTTTTGTATTCACTCCTGGGTAAATGCGCAATAGCAAAAATGATGCTGTTGCAAGATTTAAGATTCCATCAGTTTCAAAGAATATTTCAATGTTATAATAAAATAATTATTATAGAAGTTCTTCGAAAAGTGGAAAATAAATATCATAAATGGTAAAATTCTTCACATACCCACTATAGACACTTCTATAGAGTTATAAGTTTGAAAAATCATATTGCCTAATTGACTTAATCTATTCAAATAATTAATCATAAGTATCTATCCATTGATTAATTACATTTGGTAACATTGATTTTTTCCCAAATATATGTTTTCAATATTGTTCTGAAGCTATTTTCTTGTGTCATTTTAAATTAATTACTATTTAACTGGGAATAAGCCACAATTGTGGCTTATTCCCAGTTAAATGGTAATTAATGTGTTTTCAATTTACATATAAATTTCAGTTATTTGTTGTTACATAATTGGATTTTTGAAAAACCTGTTAAAAACTTAACTTCAACTACTCTACTAGAATTATATTCACATCTCAAAAGCGTCTATTTTATTTTTAGCCGCCTTCTTCAAGGTCCACGTTTCGAGTGCATATGTGACTATGGAAAAATTAGAGCTTTTACAGACTTAATTTTATGTGAATTGTTATAATTCAATTTTTCCAAATTGTTACCAATTTCATCATAGCTGTTCTTGCAATAGTAAGCCTTATATGTATGTCTCTATCATGTATCTTTTCTTTCCAAAAAATATTAGGCGATCCAATTTGATCGAACTCTTGAATCTCTGGTTTTTAATTACAATTTACATAGTATCTTTCGCGGATTTACAGATAAGTTTGTATCTATCTCTATGTCTATAAAATTATAATAAATAATAATATAAATATTACATATTATGTAATAGATCTACTATTCTAGTATGATGAACTTCTTGAATCTGAATTCTCAAATATAGATACTATCCAACTTCTCATACATGTTAATTAGTTATAATCAATGTATAATTTTCTAAGGGAAAATCCAAGAGAGGGACAGAGCAGAAAGGTGAAGAAAGCTTGAGTTGGTCGAGGCTCTTTAAAGGCTGTAGCACCGTGATTATGATGATGATGTTTCAGTAGCAAACTAAAGTAGTGACATTCTCATACAAATTTGAGCAGATAGAACTCAATGTTAAATATAGGAGCTGTATACACTTCCAGGACTTTATATTATTAAATATTATTCTTATTACGTTAGTTACAAACTTCAGTAATTGTTTCGTGATAAAAATTATTCTTAATTATTTCAGCAAATTTCCAAGTCATTATAAAGAGTCCAATGTATGATCCTGCGACTTCTAAATATGATGCTGAGTAGATTTTGTGAAATGAGCACCTACCATTCATATTAGTACAAGATCCCACTGCAGGATCACTACATCCATATCATAGTTCATCTAACTAGCATCAAAATTAGGTCGCAACAACACTGGTTTGACAAGTGATAATATGTACTTACTATAATCCTTTTTGACTGGCAACCTATTACCAGTGTACTAGTGACTTTACCCGTCGCATGTAACGGGGGATCCAATCTAATCCAGTATGATCACTTTGCATTTCCGACTTGTCATGTTATATCCTCTCCTTTCATTTGTATGTCGCATGTTAGGATTCAATCAGTTGTTAATTTTTGACTCAGCCTGAGGCCTTTTTTAATTCAATAAATCAAAATTTTCTTAAGGTAAATCTATTTTTATCCATAGTACTCTATCATATCTCTTATGTCGCTATATGTTCATTAATATTAAAGATACTGTGTAGTGTTTTTAGTTTTTAGTAGTCCCTTGTTTATTTTTTGTATCTGAATATATTTGCTATATCCTTCCCTTTCATTTGCTATAAAAAGATTCAATCAGATGTTTATTTTGTACTTAGCCGCCAGACGCCTTCTTTAAATCAATAAATCAAAATTTGTCTTATAGTAAATATTTGTATCCATGGTGCCCTATGATATCTCGAATGTCGCTATATGTTCATTAGAATAAAATAGAATAGAAAAAAGCTTTATTCTCAGGATTCACAAGTTACATACAAATATAAATTGTCAATAGAGAGAATGGTGTCAGTTACAATTTATAATGGTTGCTGTAACAACCTACACTTAACATAAAAGTAATATTAAAACATAATGATAATAACAGTGACATTTAGATTCAGGTAAGAGCCCTTAGTCTGCCTACAGGTCAGCTTGAAGGTATTATTCCACTTGTATGGTTCAAGGTGTATGAGCAATTGTTGAACAGACTTTCTACATTTATTTACGTCAGTTTCTATTTTGATGCTGTAAGGCAGTTTATTAAAGAATTTAATACAGGCATACTCTGTGGTTTTCTCAGATGCTGTTAGTCTATGTATTGGTATATTATAGTTTATGAGATTGTTTCGTGTATTAGTATTATGGTTTGTTACGTGTTTCAAGAATTTATGTCTATTTTTAAAAATGAAAAGTAAGCATTCATATATGTATGTTCCAGCCATTGTTAGTATGTTTAGCTTTTTGAAATTACCTCTACGTGAATCTCTGTATCGCAAGTTAGGTAGAGTTCTGATTGCTCTTTTTTGTAATATAAAAACCTGTTCAGCGTTACCACTTCACCCCAGAAAACTATTCCAAATGGCATTACAGAATGAAAGTTTGAAAAATATACAACTCGTTTACATTTTTCGTCCAAATAATTTGCTGTTATTCTGAAAGAGTAGCAGATAGATGCTAACCTGTTACAGATCTCATTTATATGCACTCCATTAATAATGAAGATTGTGTAGTGCTCTTTTAGGCAGTCGCCTTGTTTGTTTTTTCTATCTTATCATGATATCTTTCCCTTTCATTTAACGAATCACATGCTCCAATGCCGAAATGGAGGTCCAAATAATTTGCTGTTATTCTGAAAGAGTAGCAGATAGATGCTAACCTGTTACAGATCTCATTTATATGCACTCCATTAATAATGAAGATTGTGTAGTGCTCTTTTAGGCAGTCGCCTTGTTTGTTTTTTCTATCTTATCATGATATCTTTCCCTTTCATTTAACGAATCACATGCTCCAATGCCGAAATGGGTATTTTTTCTGTCTCAAAAGCATTTTTATAGCTTTTACTTAATTATATTTCAATTTGGTAGATGTTGGTAGTTTAGATTTCTTTCCTAGGTGGCGTAGTTACCTTACTGGACAAACAGTGTGACTTGTCATCATAGCCTTTTATATAGATAGATTCTCTGAATTTTAAATGTTTGTAGAAATATGAGTTTGACTAACTATGTTATGAACGTAGCGATCCTTCAGTGTGATCTTAGGCTATAGGTATGACATTTTTTCATTTCATTATTTTGTTATTAATTAAGTTGTGATTGTGGAAATATATAATTATATTCTATTCTAACTTGTATTCATAGTTCGCTACTTGTGTTTTTTATAATCCTATTTTTATTATAACTGGTATTGTAAAATTAAATCCTCAAAATATTATTTAAAGAATTTTCGAATGTATTATTATTTTTTCATCTATAGGAATTAGTTTCCTCATTAGCTCTTTCGACATCAGTTCTTCGTTTTACGAGATTTCTCACCAGTGAATACAGAGTGATTTTCTAATGAATACAAAAAATTAAATATTCGATTAATCCAATCTGTTGGATTTAACATAATACATTTTAAAGGACAATCAGTAGTAATTATTTGGAAAATTATTGATAAATTGTCGAGAGCTTCGTAAATGCTAAATTTAGGAAATATATTCATTATTCTGAAATTCTAATTCAATTTTAGGTCGCCAGGAGTCACACTTCCTATTTATTTTCGAGCAGTATATTAAAAATTATATTGAGCAGTGTAACAACGGTGCAATTTATCGGCGCGTGTGACAAATGCGCGTGAAAAAAAAATGAATGGAACATGAAGAAGAAAGAACAGCGGCAGAGTGAATCTACTGATTCTGCAAGGCTGCATCCTCTCCCTCTCCCCTCTGAATAAATGGAATTACCATTCATAATTTGCCATATGCTTTACCAAATTTAATAACCACCTTTGTCAGTACAAAACTTCTTTGGGTTTCCATATTTGAATCCTAAAATGCTAAATACATATGGCCAATATTGATGTATGGTAGCGAGATCTGATCACTTAAAGTAAGATCGCTAAACTGTACTGAAGCATTTGAAATGTAGTGCCTCAGAAGGTTGCTTAAAGAGCAGTTGCTTAAGATTTCATGTATCTACCATATTACAAAAGAATTGGTATTAAGAAGAGCTAATAACACAGAGAGCTTCTAAACATCGTTTAGAACAAGTAAACTAAGATAACTATTAATATGGCATTAAAGGGAGATTTGAGTAAGGGGATGGGGAAGACAGATACTCTTTAGGGAAAGATGGTAGAATATTTTGAGGCACATTAGGGCTCACAAAGGGCTGTAGCGCAAACTGATGACTTATGAAGATGACTGATTCTTTTTTATTATTACTATTTACTAAAAATATGGATTCATTAATCTGTGACCTGTCTTGAAAAATTACTGTGACATGATAATTTATTTTTCTTTATCATATTTATAATTTGACAAACTTTATGCCAAGAATTTTGAAATATGCTATAAAGTAAAATGTAATACATACTTTTCCATATACAGGATTAGCAGCAGCCAATACTGAACATCTAGCATTCAAGCTGGCATGTATTCCTGCTTTGGCAATTGTGACTCTACCTTGTTCCATAACTTCGTGAATAGCAGTTCTGTCAATGTCACTCATTTTATCAAATTCATCAATACAAACAACCCCTCTATCTGCAAGAACCATAGCACCTGCTTCTAGACGTCTTTCACCAGTTTCCTGATCTGTTGTAACTGCTGCTGTCAGACCAACACCAGAAGATCCTCTACCTAGAAAAATGGTAACATTTTACTGATAAAACATGTACATTTTGTTAAAGTACATATTTTGGTGTTTAGATGTGTTACTTTGATACTATGCTTTGTGTGATAGATTGATATTTAAAATTAAATAAAATACTGTAATTTGTCAAACAACAGTAATTAAACTCTTAATATTTGTGTTTTTTTTTTTGCTTAAAAACCATTATACAACTAGAAACCAGCAGTCATTCATTTTAAGAAATAGAATGTTAACAATTTGTCTTATTAATTAGTAAGCATTTAGTGAATATAGTATATTTACCTGTGGTTGGTATAGCTCTAGGAGCGGTGTGTAAAACATAACGCAACAACTGAGATTTGGCAACACTAGGGTCTCCAATAAGCAGCACATTGATATCACCTCTTAATCTAGTACCATTTGGTAGCACCTTTTCGACTCCACCAAGCAAAAGACATAATACAGCCTTTTTGATATACTCATGTCCATGTATAGAAGGTGCCAATGATTTTGATAGTAAATTGAAGATATTTTTATTAGATTTGGCAAGTTTTTTACAGTGTGCAACATCTTCCCTTGTTATTGAATGTGTTGCTTCTTTGCTCAGTTGGGAAATGTTGTTTGCAATTACAATGGTCCTAAAAATAAAATAAATAACAAAATTGTATTGATTACTGAATCTTTATTTCATAGTTACAACACCCAATAATTTTTTTTGTTGCAAAAACATTAGTATTCATGAAGGTAGTCAGACATTTTTTCCCATTGTTGTCCTTTGAATTGGTATCTAATGTAATAAAAATCTTTTTGGCCAATTCTTCCAAATGTCAATGTATAATCACATTAAGTGATATATAAACATATCAATGGTTACATGATGAAATCTTATAAGTAAAAAATTGGCCATTGTAAGATTTGTCATTTGGGATTTGGCTCAAAAATATTGTTCTGAATGTTCTGCCACAACCCCAGATTCATGAAAACTATGTAGTCATGTTTTTTTTTAAGTAATGATTCAATAAACAATAAGAAAGAAGAATATGTACTAAACATATAAGTTTTTTTGCTCTCCTAAAAAAGTTAAAATTTTGACTTATGAGGTTTCAACTTTTAACCATTGATATACAGAATTCATTCATACAATTTTATTTTTTGGTTTATATATAAAGAGCAATCACTTGAAATTTTCTATAGCCCTCTTGTATCTGTGATATATGTTTTTTAATGAATCTATCATTCTAAAGGTATGATACAGTTCCAATTTTAAAAAGGAATATTGAAACCTCTTTTCATCACCTTTCAAAAGAAAACTCTACCAATCATAGACATTCCAGATGAATATCATTAGTACCTTAGACTCAAGTTAGACCCAAGTCTACTATTGATATCAAACTAATACTTGTACTACAAAAACTAGTAAAGTACCAAAAAATTCGTTTATTTTTTATATTTTATTAAAGTTGGATAGTTGTATAATTTTTCTTTTTACTATTTATTTTCATGTTGTTGTCAATTGTTTTAAATTGATTGTACATTTTTCATGGCATAAAAGTGAATCTAATTCATTTTAGCAATAAGCTGAAATTTTTTTCAAAAAATATGAAAAAAACTTACTTGAATATACAATTAGAGAAGTTTTGCTGTTTATTAGGCAAGCACCTAAATGTACCAACAACTTGTATCCTATCTCCTGGTTTACAAGCATCCACTAAGTCATTATCACAGATAATATCTACAGATCTGGGCAGCTGACCAGCAGGAGCCTTCTCAGGCATTTCTTGAATGGAAATGGTTTGATGGTCTTTGTAAGCTGACAGCCCATACTCAGTTTCTAGAGGATTACCATCATCATCCTACATAAAAAATTAGTAAATGTAAATAAAGGGTATTACTAGAATAACTAAAATAAAGCAAAAATTTCCTTTGTTACACATTAATTCACAATCATGTTTATTAATCCCAGATAAATATTCTGGTAGGGTACAGCAGGTATATAAAGAAAATAAAGATTATATTGCAGAAATAAGAGTCAGAATTGAAAAAGCATGTGCCAACTTTGTTAAAATGAAAAAGATTCTATGCAGCAAAGATCTGACATTGACCTTCAGAATAAATAAATTAAATGCTATGTCCTCAGTACACTCTACTATGGAGCTGAATCATGGACATTAAACTGGAATACAATAAATTGACTTAACGCGTTTGAAATGTGGACATTTAGAAGATTAACTTGTTAAGCTGGTTGTTCAGGCTGTTAGGCCGTTGTCTTCTGAGATTAGTTCTCGACGTTTTGCCAACACTATAGGTTGGCATCTTCAGCTAGTTTCAGCTTACAATCACAGCAGTAACATCTCCAGAAGATGCCAACCCCTAGTGTTGGCGAAATGCCGAGAATTAATATCAGAAGACAACAGCCTAACAGCATGAACAAACAGCTTAACAAGTTAGACGATGGCTTTGAAAGCCTAACACATTTTATTTAGAAGATTGTTAAGGATTCCATGGGTAGATCGGTTCTGCAACTTTCATAGATGTGCCAGTAGCTTTTGACACAGTCTGGCAAGAAGGAATGATTCATAAACTCTTATGCACTATTCCTTACAAATTCATTCTCAGATTAATAGAAAATATGCTCAATGACACAGTATTTCAAGTAATTATGGGATCAGAAATTAGCACTTCCAGTAAACTCAAAAATGGGCTGCTACAAGGTTTGTAGCAGCCCATACAACTCCTCTAAAAATAAAGTAATATACACAACAATTTGGCATCAAGAACTCTTCATTCATTTTGATAATACACAACTGAACCACAATAAACACCCAAAAGACCTAAGCGTGGCTTTGGAAGGAACATTCAGCTTTATAGAACAAGTACAGTTGCCAAGGAGCTCTGCTGCAAAATATGGGTAGCATTGGCATCCACACTCATGACTTCAGGCTTAGCTCTTGTTAATTCTTATGCAGAATATTGTGCACTAATATGGATCAACAGTGCTCATGTTCAAAAGATTTATGTTCAGCAAAACATCATGAGAATGATCTCTGGAGTAATCAAATTCACAACCTATTGGCTACCAGCACTGAGTGAAATTCTACCACAAACCTTTGTTGGCTCAAACTTCTGACCAAATACATAACTATATAGAGGGTACAACCAAAAGTCGACTGCACCCTAGAAAATTGCTCATAGAAACCGCACAAATAGCTGCGGCCATTAGGTTCAACATGATCACCAATTTTACCCATTAATGGTCAGAAGCTCAACTAAATTTGAGACCTATTAATACTTTGAGACCACATTATTATGGTGTGCAGTTTCTGTATTTTTTAATGGAACTAATTTTTTGGCAAATACAAAAACTCTTAGAAATAAAAAAGGTGGTAAAAGTATAGAGAACATTCTGGTTAAGTTAGATACTAATGAATGAAATTTTTGTATTTGATAGAGTTGCCATGTTGTTCTAATAAATAGTGAAAGATAATGCAATATAATATTAATTAATTTAATTAAACATGGAAAACATAAAAATGTAAAATAAATAAAAGAAAAATAATATATAAATCACTATAAATGGTAAAGTTAGAAAGTGAGTAAGAAGTTAAATTCTGTTATAATGATTTTAATAAAAAATTTTATTTTGTTATTTTCTTGCAATCTAGCAAGAGTGTTTTGAAGGTTTTGACACTATTGCCAAATCTATCCACTAATCTAATAAATAGCAATTACAAATTTTTTTTCTAATAACTAACTGCAACTAATATAAAAAACAAATATTCATTTATTTGTGTTTTATGTAAATTAAAAAAAAATTACCAGATTCTATAAAGTAATATAATAAAAATGTACTGTTTCAAGACATATTTGAGGCATAAAACATAAGGACATGGCAATACTGCAAATGCAAATTTGTGATTTACTGAAGGTTCATTTGTACCTAACTTAACTGGAAAATTCTCTATAGTTTTACCAAAAAGGTAAAAGAAACACTTCTAAGCTACTAAAAAATAAAACAAAACATAATATTAAATCAACAAATATATACATATTTACCTTTGTGGGATACACAGCTACAGAGGGTACAGCTTCAAATGAAGTCATATCTGTATACTTTCTTTCCATAATTTTCTTGGTAACAGGACAAAAATGCACACTTCGTACTACTTTAGGATAAATTAGTGAACCTGGAACATACATATATAAATAATAACTTTAAATAAATGATAAAGTTAATAGTCATGAACATCTTACATTTGGTTACAATGCCTTCCACACAAATCAAATTGCCAAGATATCTTGAAACTAGTGTTCTGGGAGTTACATGTTTGTTTCCAAAACTTCCTTCAAAAGCTATAAAAAAGTCGACGTGATCTTTGGCGTAGTCTGGGTTAACAGACAAAACATATTCTTTTAGAGCCTTCTGGAACGCCATTTGTTCCTCGAAGGCATTGTTAAGAAGAGCTGCTGCTCTCAAAGGGTTCTTTCGACGTAGATCATTAATGTTGACTAACAAACGATAACTTTTATCATCAATCATATCTTTTACAAGTTGTGAGTATTTCCCTTGATCCGCCTAAAAATAATATACGTTTCAAGGATTAAATATAATATTAAGTATTTAGATATTACCTCATCGTCTAAGAAATCTAGATACTCCCTCTGGATGTCTCTAATGTGCTGATCCATATCTTGAGTTTCCATTTTAAACAAAAGTATATTTCAAATAAATTAAATCAGAAAAAGGCACTAATATTAATATGTAAACGTTTACTTAGTTTTGGCGCGAAACCACCGATATGAAGTTGTGTTCACGTTGATAGATGTCAGTTTCTTCTTCTTTTTTAAATTTCGAAAGAAACGTTATTCGTAAGATAGGATAGGAGCAGAGGTACGTATCTCTGGATAGGAGTATAATATTATATGTGCGTCGAGTTGAAAAACCTCTGAAACTATTTTCTTGTGGCATGTGTAATATACATATTTTGATACGGGATTAAGTCAAAATTCATTGTAATTAGAGTTACATTTTATACTTTCGATTTTCAATGCGGAAATCGTTTTGAAACATTTCTGATAAACATTATGAATGATTTTAACCTGTAAATGTTTATAATAGATAGTGAATGGCAAGAACTGTTGACTACATAGAATGGTAGATACCCATAATACTAATTTCGCATATAATGAATTTGATCGATAATGAAAATCAAACCATCAAAGTAAAAATGGAATTGTGAATAAATTAATTGTGGCTTAATCCCATATAAAATATCTATGCCAAAAATTTGTTTTTAGTAGGAAGAAGACCTTCAATTATCAGTTGTCGGTTGTCGTTAGTGTCAAAAATAAAATTCAATTTCTCTTCATGTGGTGCAATCAAAATAAACTGATGCACGTGTAATATAATATACTAGAATTTAACATTAAACCACAAATATGCGTATAGAAACGTGTTACTTCTGTTCCTCAAGGATATATCCAGGTCATGGAATACAATTTGTAAGAAATGACTGCAAGGTAATATGTTATTTTTCTTTAATAATCGCTGTTACATTTTCCGTGTTTTGTAGATATTTAAATTTTGCCGTTCAAAATGCCATGCAGCATTTAAAAAGAAAAAGAATCCGCGTAAAGTAAAATGGACCAAGGCGTACAGGAAAACAGTAGGCAAAGAGTTAACGATAGATCCATCATTTGAATTTGAAAAACGTAGAAACATACCACTTAAATATAACAGAGAAACCTGGTCAAAGGCAGTAGAAGCAATGAAAAAGGTAGAAAAAATAAAACAGAAAAGGCAAGGAGCCTACATTATGCAAAGATTACGTAAAGGTAGAGAAATTGAACAAGAACGAGACATCAAAGAGGTACAAAGGGATCTGTCCCTTATCAGATCTCCAGCTGTTGGACTTAAAGAAAGAAAACAAGAAGAATCTTTGGCAGAAGATCACAGAGAAAGTGACGAAGAAATGGAAGGTATTATTGAAGATGGCGGAGAAGTTACATTGTAAAAAATACAATTTGTTTACAATAATTATTATAAACAATATAAAGTTTCATTGTGAGTTGTTAGTTTTCTAACTGTTAATTTTTTATTTAGTACTGAACGTCCATAAAACATTCAAATACTTGGAAATATATTTCATTATATTAATTTCTTGTTTTTTGTTATAATGTGTATTAGTTAGCACATATTAAAATCTAGATATGTTTATATGATTTTTTTAAATCACTAAATTTATTTAATTTACCTCTCCAGGTATAGAAGGCCTATGGCTTGGCTTATTATACTTTTCAATTGTCTTCTGTTTGCTTCTTTATTATTAAAGTTTGGCATCTTTAATTTATTAAGACCTTATAACTTACATACTATAGGAGTACAGTTTGTCAGTCTGTGTTTTAAATTGGTAACCAACACGAAGGTAGCCAGCTGAATACAAAAATTTAAACACGAAAGACCAACAAATGTCTACAGAAGGTTTCCCATCTAAATGATAAGCACATGCTTGTGGTAATACCTACAAGTAAATAGCACCTTCTTATGCTTATTTTTCTGTGGTACAATCTAGGATCTCTTTTTGAGGATTGTCTCAAAGGACACATCTAGAAGAGATAACGAGACTTAACCAGTTGAGGTTGGTCAATAGTGTCCCTGTATATGGAACATGATATAGTATTGGTTACTTTCCAAGAACTTAGAAAGTAGCATAGATTAAGGGAGGCATTGACTATTTTCTTCAAATTGTGGGTAGTGACTGGAAGAAGTTGTTTCCCACAGTTCAATCCACAGGTGCCACAAGAGGAATATCATAAAAGTTCTGTATCATGCAGGTTTTGAACATCTCTTGGATCAATCTTTCAATAGTTTCATGGAAGGCAGGGTCAGTTGGGGTAACAAGGTACATCTGAGTTTTAGATTTGATGTGAAGCATAGGTGTCTTGACCATAGTCTATTTCTAATACCCAGTTGTAGAGTACATTCCATATAGTAGGTCCCAAAACGGACCATTGCAGCACTCCTGATGATAATATCATATGTTCATTAAATGCTAAATTTAAATACCTGTTTGTCAAGTGTTTCGTTATGATATTTATGATTTAGTCTGATACTGCTGCTACTTTGAGCTTTGTTAGTATGTGATGCCAATTTGAAGAATTGAAAGCATTCTTCACATCAAACATCACAATAATGGTCCATCTTTTTACAGTCTCTGCTGATAGCTGATCTGGCTTTTCTAAAACCGTACTGTCTGTCTGAAATTATTCCCAGTACTTTAAGTTCTTCAAGTAGTTTTTTTATAAGACCCTCATAGAATTTTCCTGTGAAAGTCTCGCCTATATTGAAAGTCTTGCATATTCAAAAGTTCTTTGAATATTCTATGTATCCATTCAGGTTTCTCTCTTACTACCAGTTTTATTGCACCTGGCATTATTTTATTTGGGCCTGGGGCTTTACCTGTGTTTTTACTTTCTGCTGCTTGAATGATCTCTTCAGTAATAAACTCTGCAGGTCAAATATTTTTGTCTATTCATAGAAATGTGCTGTCAGGTTTCTTGGAAATAGGGTGTTCACTATTTCCACCTTTTTTTTGGCACAAAGGGTATATGGGATCTCAAACCATAGACTTTTTATGACAATTCTGTATGCCTCGCTCCATATATCTTCTTCCAGTGTGGTGCACAAGTTCTTCCAATTTGTACATTTAGCACTTTTAGTTCTTTTTTTTGAGCTTTTATACGCCTCTTTATGTTCTTGGTTCCTGTGCCTTTGTCTTAAGGCCTTAATGCCTTTTTTAATTCGCCTGCATCTTAAGCATTCCTCTCGTTTATTTTGGATTTGATCATTCCACCAGTAAGGTACTGTGTATATGGTGTGGCTATTTATTTCTCTTTATCGAATACTATCGTCTTCTAGTCATATTTTGCAACTGTAATGTACTGGTAAAAGGTGAAAATGTTCTCATCCAGTACATCCCAACTTTTAATCTTCTTGGCAACACCGTTGCTTGCTAGGGTAATACCTATATGGCTTTTCGATGTACCTCTTACAAAGGTTGGTTTGCCGTTGTTCACCACTACGAGGCAGCCGCAGAGATCCATTCGTTTCAAAGTTCGCCCCTCTCGTCATTTGGGGAGGTTCACATAAAATGGATTTTGTATTTGTGTCTCCGGCTACTAACAAATCTTTTTTTCTCTGCGACGTGTCGATTATCTTCTCTATGTGTTGTCTGTAATATTTGGGAAAATATAGCATGCTATTATGGTTGTCCTATCAATTTTTATTGTTACATGTCTTCCATTGTCTCACTATTTTATTGACGCACACCTTTTTGTTTAGAATATTTATGGCTACGTCAACGTTATTATCATATATTCATCCTTTATTCATAGCTTTTCTCTTATTAGGTTCTGGGTCAATCAAGAGAACTGCTTCGATTTCTAAAGCTTTTGCGTAAATTAAGTCGTGTGTTGTCTTTGCTCTTCCGGCGTTGACTTATAGTATTTTTAGTCTTTTTTTTAATCTCTACCACTAGCGTATTAGGTCACTTAGATGGGCTATGGTGACTATTGTGACTATTAGATGATTATTCATTTGAGGCTGTCCGACGACAATTCATCTACCTTCTGCCTTGCTCTCTCGGGTGTGTGAGCCTCACTGAGCACAATTATACAGTTGGTCCAGTGCCTTTCGGAATTTTTTTAGGGCTGTATTCTTCATTACACAGAACACACCAATACTGTCCCTGGCATCTATCCATTTTTCTATCTGGCATCTAACTATCCACACTCTGATATATCCTCTACCGAGGATAACTTCCGCAATCCCACAGGAACTACTAGTGTAGTTGCCTAGGTGTCTCCTCGTAGCGGTCTTAGGTCACCTATTTTGTAGGTCACTATTATTTTTTGTTTAGTGGCGTCCGCTGACATGCCCCTAATGTGTAGGCTAACATACTTTCATTCGTCCCCTGACTGGAAGGCCCTCATACTGTCCTTCTTTTTATTGGGTGCGTCCTTAATTTTGTTTAAGGCAGCTTGATCCTTTTCTAGAATGATGAGAAGCCTACCATTTTTGGTACTTCTCATCGACTTACTGATTCCGAGGCCCCGGACGTCTTAACGGCCGTTTTTACTGTTTGCAAAATCTGGTTATAATCTCAATTCTTTTTGGAAACTATCATACCGTAAGTGGAGAGAGAGAGAGAGAGAGAGAGAGAGAGAGAGAGAGAGAGATAGATTTTAAAATGAGATTACATTTATAAAACACAACATGGTATTGTACAAACAAGGTACAAGATATATTAAAATACTAATTATAAAATTTCCATAATTAAAAAAATATATATCAATTAGCGCAACTGTCCTCAAAAAATTCCTCTACTATAGTAACATTTAGATAATAAAAACTTTTTGATTGCTCTTCGGAATACAAAAATATTGCTTGAGGATCTTATATCGAGTGGTAGGTGATTAAACACTTTCTTACCAGTGTAAATAAATGATTTTTTAGTTAATGTAGAACAGGGAATTGGAAGTGGAATAACATAATTTAGACGAGTATTATAAGGGGAAACTGTCCGAACATCCTCCTTATGTTTATTAAAAATTAAGCACGCCAATTCAAGGATATATATATATATATATATATATATATATATATATATATATATATATATATATATATATATATATATGCAAGGAAGTGTCAAGATACCATGTTTCCGGAACAGAGGCCTGCATAATGTACCAAACTTGACCTTGCATAAATATCTGAGTGCTCTCTTTTGTAGCATAAAGTTTCTACTGAAATGATGAAGAGAACATCTACCCCAAAAGGCAATACCGTATCTCGAATTAGATTCAATCAAGGCATATAAACACTTTTTGCAATCTTGAAATCTAAATGGTGAGCAACTGAGTTGACCGCAAAGCAACCCGATGATATCTTTTTGCTTAAATATACAGTGTGTTGCTCAAATTTAAGTTTATTATCAATATAGAGACCTAAAAATTTGTTTACGGTATCAGAACAAATGCCTTCATTGCCCAGAGTACCTAATGTTGTTTAGATCATTCTTAAAAGAAATTAATTTAGTTTTTGAAAAATTAAATGTCAAATGATTAGCTTTGCACCACTCTAAAATTTTTTTCCATATCACTACTATTACGCGCCTCACTTCGTTCGGCGCGTAATATCGGGCGCGTCAAAAAAAGTCATGCTTCTCCGCCTCATACAGTAATATACTATTTTCAGCGAGTTCTGGACCTACCGAGCAGTAATATTTATTCAGATCACTAGGGTCTAAGACTATATCTGTAGTTTGGGGAACTTTAGCTCTAAGTTTATTAACTATATGCCTTTAAGATAAGATTCCTTTTGTTTATTATTGGCATTTTTCATTCTAGATTTAAAAGATATACATTTTGCTAATTTAGTTACTTTCCTATATATGGACCTATATTTATAGAAATATATCAAAAATTCATCATTGCATATTATATGTTTTTTAATGTAATTTAACGATCTTAAGTTTTTGCAGGAAGTTCGAATTCCTTTAGTAACCCAAGTTTTCTTACTTTTTGATTTAAGAACTCTTTTTTGAAATGCTAAATTGAAAATCTTCATGAGAGTGTGATGAAATTTATGAAGCGAATCAGGAAGCGTCCCAAAGTGGGGACTCGACCTCTTTTCTTTTCTTTGTGTTGTCGTGTAGACTAGTACCTCCGTTTCAGTCTTCTGGAAAACGGCCTCACACATCTTCCTTAGGTCTCCGACGGTGAGGTAGCTGACGGGATATAACGCCAATTTATCTCCCATACCCATCTCTTTTTTTACCTTTGAGAGGATTTACCAAAGATATCTCCGGTACAACAAATAAAATTTTCAAGGTAATGGTGTGGCTTAATTTTAACTATAGTAATATCTCTACTACGATTTTCGTTATATAACTTTAATATTTTTTCAAAATCCGAGTCACCAACAGTGGAAAAATTATCATTGATTATTTCGAAATGATTTACATTTCTGTCATTCTCATCGTATAGATATAAAATATTCTTATTGTGAACGTCTAAGATTTGCTCATTAGAGTAGGTAAAGTTATTTAAATTTAAGTTAGTTTTAATATTCTTAAATTCGGTATATTCATTTTGTTTTTGATAGACGTGGTTTAATCGAATTTTGACAAAGCGTCTGATTTTAGCATTAGCATTTTAGCATTAAGTTGATAGCATTGTTACTTCGGACTTTATGTTCGTGTATATTATTTACACTAAGTTTATTATGTTCCTGATCAGACGGAAACAATGGCGGGATTTCCTCACGATTAGCAAATAAAGTATTCAAACCAAAGTCAATAACACATTTATTCTTTTCTAAAAAATCATAACCAAGTATTCCATCAAAAGGAGAATTTATGTCTACTATATAGAATTTTTGAACACCCGAAAATAACTTAAAGTTTACGCTCTTTGTAACTTGAATTGGTTCGTTATTAATATATACCAAATGAAGCGTTTATTTGAAAAACAACACATGTCCATTTTTTTGCAAATTTGACTTTATATGTTGTTTGCATAGAATATTAGTTTCTTTATCGATCTCACACACTCAGTTGTGTAAAAATCCCAGATGTCCGGAGTAAACTACATAGAAAATTCGGATCATTTTAGAAAAACAACAGATGTCCATGCGGTTTATTATAAAAGCAACACTTGTCCCTTCTTTCTCAACGGTCACCGCTAAGCGTGAATGATCTTGTCTATAAATAATTTATCAGTTGTGTGCTTTCTTTGAACAGGTGATGTTTGTTTCTTATTAGCAGCATGGCGGAAACTACTGTTCAACACAATATATTTAATATTATAGATGATAGTATTTGTGAAATTCGAACTACAGATCAACCACGAAAACGGAAAAGAAAAGTTTATCGAAGGGAAACCATAAAGCAAGCTAAAATACATGGAGTTGCTCACAAAACACATAAAGGTGATAAGGATGTTTTAGCACGAACAACAGGAAATGACTGTATGTAAGTTTTTCGATAATAACAAGTTGTTTTCTCAATGCTTATAACTTCAATCTTGGTTGTAGGTATAAACGTTACCGATGCTTCTATGTAATAACACAGGAACAACGTTCTGACTTACTGAATATGTTTAATAATATGAAGACCAAAGATGAACAGGATTCATATTTATCAAGCCTCATTAGTGTTACTCCTGTCCAGAGACGACGCAGTCGTATTTCACAAGCCGCCTTACCTAACCACAGTACGACTAGTGATAGTAGAAATGAAGACACAAACAAAGTTCGACATCAACAGGGTCCACCACATGTAGCTTCTTTTATGTATAAAATTCGACTACCAGTAAAAGACGTAAGTATGTGTGCCAAAGCTCTTCGTAGTATTTTCGGTGTTACTGAAATGCAGATCCGTCGAATTAGAAATAGCTTAGCAATGAGTAGATGTTCTCCAAAAGATGCCCGGGGCAAGCATACAAATAGGCCTAAGAAGACACACCCTGCTGATATAGAAAACATAATTGCTCACATTTCTTCATTCAAAGGCCGCCAAAGTCATTATACACGGAGACTGGACAAAAAGAAAATTTATCTACCATCAGAGTTAAATGTAAAAAATATGTACAGAGCATTTAAAGAACTTCACCCACAGTCCAAGGTTTCTTGCTTTGTTTATCATAACATATTTCAAACACGATTTAACATATCTTTTTTCTACCCCAGGTGTGACACTTGTACATTATGTAATGAAACTGAAACCCAACTCAAACTACCGAATATCGATGAATCGAGAAGAAAGGAACTGCTTCAAGTGAGAAACCTTCATCACGCTAAAGCAAATGCATTTTATGATATAAAACGAAAAATTAAACATAAATGTCAGCATCTTAATAATGTATCTGCAATAGCCTTTGACTTTATGCAAAATCTTCCACTACCCAATTTGACTACAAATAAGGTTTTCTATAGCAGACAACTTTGGTACTATGTATTTGGTGTACACGACATTGGAGGCAATGATGTCCATATGTATACCTATTACGAAGGAATGGCTAAACGTGGTCAAAATGAAGTAACTTCCATGATATTTCATTATCTAAAAGATCATATTATACTCGCTGAAATTTATGAAATATGGTTTTTCTCTGATGGTTGCCCGGGTCAGAACAAAAACTATATCTTTATCCGCTTTTCATATATCCTGGTGCACGTATTGAAATTAGCATCAGAGATAACACACGTATACCCAATACGAGGACATTCATACCTACCGTGCGATAGTGAATTTAGTCTTATTTCTCGTGCAAAAAAAGTAGTTGTTGATGTTCCAGAATGGGATGATCTTATTCGGCAGTCAAGGTCTAAACCTCCTCCATTTAAAGTGGTTAATGCTGGGAAAGAAACTGACTGGTTTCTTATGGATGAAAGTTTTAAGGATCTATTTTTAAAGAATCCAAAACCAAAAATTTCATTGAAACCAGCAAGAATGTACCGAATATCTGAGAAGTATCCTGGACAAGTTTTAATACGTCAAACTTATCACGGCCCATGGACGTTCCACACCATTACTGAAAAAACAACACCAAAACAAATAACTCTGATACCAAATAACGCGAAAAAGAAAATAAGTCAACCAAAGTTTCGCGATCTAATGGAGTTAACTAAATATCTCAAAAACCCTCTTAATAAAGAATTTTATTTTAATCTAGAACCAGAATCAGGGGAAACCGAGGACAATACTCCAGTCGTAGAACTATTTAGTGATGATAATAGCAGTGGTAGCGAATAGACATCATAGAATTGTTTGTTATTTCTACGAGGATATTATATGTTATGTTCATTTTCCAATATATTTTGCTAAGTTTCTACCGATTTTTGTTTAAAATATCAATAAAATTATGAAATCAACTTGTACAATTATTTTGATAGCCACATTCCTTCCAATGAATATCTTAGTAAAGGTAAGATTTGAAATAAATTGAAGCTAGGCAGTTTTTCTTGATTTGCCAAAATTTTAATTTTTGGACAAGTGTTGTTTTTCAAATAAACGCTTCAAATATTTTAAAATTTTCATGATTAAGTTTTCATGATTGATGTTGCTTAGGGGTTCCTTCAGTTTTCCTTCCTCATGGCCTTAGACTCGGAACTCAAATACTAAGTCACTAATTCTCCAATTTTCCAATTAACGATTAAAATCGATTAAAAAAAAGCTTTACTTTTTCTAATTGGATATCCTACTGACTGCACCACTTTTATTTTTTATAAAATGGTATGTGTTCGTTGGAGAATTAAATAACGAAACGAAACTGAAGGAAATACACGAATTTATTTAGATGTTTACAGTTTAGGGTATAAAACTATACTAACTTGGGAAATACAAACTATATCTAAAAAAACCTCTCATAGTTCTTGATAATAACGTAAACACTTAGAGATTCTCGGCGTGGGTGTTTATCATCTCCGAAGGAGTCTTGAATATTGAGATAAAACACACACACACACACACACACACACACACACACACACACACACACACACACACACACACACACACACACACATAGTGGCGTGCTCATCATCTTTTCAACTGGCTCGTATCTGTGTTTCTTTAGCATGTCTATTAGGTGTTTCTTAAATATTTGAGTTTGAGAAAGTATTTTCCAGTTTTGCCACTGCCTCTTTTTAGGTATTAGGCCGAAATACGTATCAAATAATACAAAGGCGCTGTTTGAGTGAAATCAAATATTTGCCGTCTTTTTCACTTTATTCGGATTTACTCTGTACGAGTACAAGAAACCAATTCGCTAAGGATTTCTGCTTAGTTGAAAAGATATATCGTGGAATGCAAATTTTAGATTCCCCACGTCTCTTTTAACACCTTTATCAACGTCTGTTTTGCTTTGCAATTTTTAGAAAGCACAGATAAAAGCGGAAATCTGAATTGTGTTTCGAAACTATTTTACGGTTTAATTGCTTTTTACTATATGATGCCTCAAAATACAAATCTTCCTCAAATAAAAATTCCTGAATTTGTAATTTGTTTCAAGTTATATTTAGAATATTTCTCATTAATCCTGAATGGTATGATGCATGAAGCGTTGTTCATGACACACACACTACATTTAGGTAATTTCGGAAGGAGATTTTTCAAACCATGATTCAAAAAGCCAAATGCCTGGCGTTTTTCTACAGTTTTGTACTTAAAATTATTGGTTTAACTAAATAATCGAAGTGTTGTTGCTGCACATGAGATAATGTCCTTTTGAACCAATTCACTTCAAAGGCTTTCAATAGTTGGAAAAATATTAGCGGCGTATATTTTGTATCTTGTTCTGGTTATAGGTTCAATTAAGTGCGGTTCTATTTGTCTGAATTTGCCACAATCCTTTCTCCTCTGTCTAGAAGAAGATGTTCTTCCTATAATCTTGTAGCAGATTGCTTTGGACACTCTGGTTAAAAAAAACATGTTTCTGCAATTGCCTCTGAGTTAGACAACTCAGAACACAGTCCTTCATTAACATTGCATTGGCTCTTCAGCTGTAGAATTATTATCACACTGCGGACGCCACATTTTAAAAGTATCTTCGTAAAATGGTAAAAGAAGTTTCGAAAGAACACTGATGAAGTCACAACCAAACTCACTTGCAGTTCTCTATTTGAATTTAACTGAACGCTGTTACGGTTATACTAAAAATATTCTTGTTTTGCAAAATCTGATTTAACTGGTTTAAAAATAAAATATACTTATCTACACAAATATAAACCACTGGGCGGTTGAAACGTGATTTTTTTCTGATAAACTACTTTATGGTTTCGGTCGCTTAGGCAAATATTGTTATATCTTACCCGAAGGATGCATAAGTCTGCCGATACATGCCGATGATAACTTCAACTGGGTGACTGCCATATTTTTAAAATACCAGGCACATCTGAATGTAAATATCGATGAGAAGTACATCTTAAAAGTTCCATTTATTAAATAAATATGCCGCAGTTATAAAATTCTTATAATCTAATAGCAAGATTGTCTACGTGTACAGTCTTATAAAAAATAGTATGTTACGTAACAGTTTTTTTAAACATAATTATGTCTTCGAGTCTTCTAAGATCTTCATAATCCAAAATACGTCTAATCTGAAAATAAATACAAATTTATAACTTGATCCTTATCTAATTTCAAAAGACCTAATTAAAGAGGTTAATGAAAATAGGCGCTATCTGACATTTGTTACGTGAGATTAAAATACTATGTAACAGAAATCGAGCAAATTTCTAAGGTTATAATTTAGTTCTAGAAAAAATTATTAATTAACTTTGAAACTGTCTCAATACTGATAAATGTTAGTTGATCTTTCACTCGCCTCTCCAATTTGTTTTTTTTTCATACCTAATCTACAAAGTAGTAGATTAAAACAGTCATAAACGTAAAACCAAGAGCTACTGAGACAAGTTGAAATATTCCAGCAAGTTCTTTTTCATGCTGTTGATGCCATTTTGTTCTTTCTTTTGGAAGGATTTCGCTCAATGTCACATACAACAAGGTTCCTCCTGCAAGGGCCTAAAATGGAAATTATAATTAGTTGTAAAATATAAATAATTGTAAACTAGTGCTATTAGTGTTTTATCTTTGTAACATATAAAGTACATCTACTTAAAACAAGCGAAAAGAGGATTATAGCAAGGGAACACGTGAATTACAGTTAATCTTCATATTTCTTTTTTATTTAGTAGTATAAAGTCCTGTATATTCTCCAGTCACTGGACATACCATAAGACAAAAAAACGACAGCTGGAATAAGATGATTATACACTGGAGACCATAATAGTTTAGACCATAATAAACGCACATTTATTCATTATATAGATTTAAATGAAATAGACAAGTAGAAATTCTTAAAAGTAATTTCCTAATAATAAAAAATAATGTAATAACAATAAACGCTTTAAATCCAATTCCTTATCACGGTTTAGCAGACAGTATGTTAGAAAAAACCTCTGTTCTAATTAATACCCTAGAGTCTAGAGAAAAAGTTGGAAAACATCCAAAACATCTATCCTCAAATCCGTTCAAAAAGAGGTCTTATAAATGGAATCATTAAAGCTAATAAATGGCTATTTGGAAATTTAGACTCCGATGACGGAGAAAGATACGATAATGAAATAGCAATCTTCCAAAATACTCAGAAGAAAATTATCCAGGAGACAAATTTGCAAATATCATTGTACAAACAATTATTAGATCATACAATAAATCTCTAGAAACTCTTTGGCAAAACCAGAAAAGGTTACGAAATAATTTACAAATGTTTCAACTAGAAATTCAAAATACCATCAATAGTTTAGGAAATTATATAACCTTTCAGGGTACCATAAGTCGGATAAATTTAGATTGTCAAAATATGATATCGTTTATTGAAAATATAGAAAATGGAATTATGTTTTCAAAATTACTCATTACATAGTTTAATAATTTCAAGTCAGGAAATTCAAGAAATGATTAAATATTTGCATAATATTTATAAAGTTTCTGAAATTCCAAAATTCACAAATATCTTGACATACTATATGCTATTCGGAACACAAGTTTTCAAATTCAAAATTAATTTTCGCTACTCAAGTCCCAATCCTAAAGCCAAATCTTTCGACTTTTATCACAAATCCTATAATTCAAAATAGAAAAATATATACACCCACCTATCCTAACTTGGCACGCAAAGAAGCCCACTTACAAAAACAGGAATGTAATACTTTAGAAGAAGTATACTACTGCAAATAAGAATTAATCCAAGAAGATCTTGCGTCTCCTCGATGGTCATAGTTTACCCCAATGTTTCATCCCTAAGGCCACCCTACAAGAATCCATTATTGAACAAGTCATCAATAATCCAATATTGATAATGTCATCTACAACTGAACGAGTTCAAAGTGTAGGAAAGACAAAACGAACTAAACACACCAACCCTTATCACAATACCCGAAAACTGTGAAGTAATAATAATTAATCAATTAACATTCAGTAACAATATAGAAATTAATTAAGGAAAAGCTCTCATTCTACCAAAATTGGAATATTTGTCTAAAGAAAATCAAAGACAATTTCAAAATCAACATATTACCAAAATTAAGTTTGAAAATCTTTATGAACTCAATAACATGGTCAAACAACTGGTACCGATCCAAGAACCGAAGAGCACATCATACACAACTCCACTTGTGCCAATCTTTACCATATCAGCTATAGCAGGTATTCTAATGTTGATAATTATAATATATGGTCTTCAATTGAAGAAATTGAATTAGTTGAAGAAGACCCCAGAAACCAATGTCCCAAAAATAATTCCATTATTTTTCGGACTCGATTAGGGAGGAGTTACGATCCTGTATTCTACTAGATCTGCACTTTTGATGGCGACACTGTAGGAACTTATAAATATATGCTTTTGTTAATAGGACAGACACTTCTGTTTTTATTCTCAAATAGTTTGTATAATTAATATTGTTAGTTTTCCGTAGATTTTATATTTTCAAAATAAAGTTGTTTTTTTAAAAACTGTTTTTTGTTAACGAAAGTTATCATTCGCGCTTCTATTTGAAACTTGAATTGAATTTCGACGAGCAAAATATCGGTGTTGTGTACTATATCACAAAATATATTTTCTTTCTTTTCATTCATGACTAATTATCAGATATGATTCATTGGACACGTGTTTAATTGAAGAGAAATAATGAAAGTTGTGACGTTGAACAAAATTAATCGGTTAAAAATGAAACCAAACAAGAAAACACGATTAATTTGGATAAGATTAAATTAGAAAACATTTTTTATAAAGGTTAATACAAAACAAGATTTTTGGGTATTCATAATTCAGTTATATTTTTGATGTAATATTACAGAGTACTATAAAAAAAGTTATGGTCTATTTTTAAGTTAGGGTTTGAATGATACGGTAAAATAATATTCTGTGACAATTACGGAACACAGGAAAACAGGACACATACCGAAACAATGGTTACTCTCCACCTTTTGTGCTATCCTTAAAAATACAAACGCTAAATATTGCAGTGAATACAGAACAATATCACTAATAAGTCATATTCTCAAATTATTCCTGAAAATAATACATGATCGTATAAATAAAAAACTAGAAGAAGGAATAGATGATAGTCAGTTTGGGTTCAGAAACGGACTAGAAACCAGAAAAGCGTTATTTGCATTTAATGTGTTAGCTCAAAGATGCATGGATATGAATGTTGATGAGCATGTTTGTTACGTTGATTTTGAAAAAGCATTTGACAAAGTAAGACATGATAAATTAGTCCAAGTTCTAAAGACAAAAACCATAGACCATAGGGATTTACGAATAATAACAAACCTCTACTGTACTCAAAGAGCATAAATCGTAACAGATAACGAACCCAGTCCAGAAATTGAAATCAGGAGAGGAGTTAGGCAGGGATGTATTATGTCCCCATTACTATTTAATGTATATAGTAAAGCCATTTTTGAAGAAGCATTACTATCTCAAAGTGAACGAATAATAATTAACGGAAGATCTATTAACAACATAAGATATGCAGATAACACCGTGATTATGGCAAGCTCTGCTGAACAACTCCAATTACTGCTAAACAAAACAAACATTTTCTGTGAAAAGTATGTACTAAAAATGAATATAAAAAAGACCAAATATATGATAATAACAAAGAAAACAAATATACCAACAAACATACATTTGGGAAATGTACCGATAGAAAGGGTTGATAAATACTAATACCTAGGAACCTGGATTTCAGACAATAATGATCAAACAACCGAAATAAGAGTTAGGATAGAAATAGCAAGAAATGCGTTTGTAGAAATGAAAACAATTCTCTGCAACAAAGATCTTAGATTAGAACTGAGAGTAAGAGCACTGATATGCTACGTGTTTTCGATACTGCAATATATACTTGAAAGCTGGACATTGATGAAAGACATAAATAAGTTACAGTCCTTTGAAATAGGGTGTTACAGGAGGATGCTTAGAATAGTATGGACCCAGAAGAAAACAAACACGGAAGTATTGCGAGAAATGGGCAAAGAATGCGAAATAATAAACACAATAAAAATAAAAAAGTTACAATATCTGGGACACGTAATGAGGGGACAGCGATATGAATAGCTAAAGCTTTTAATATAGGGAAAGATAAGAGGAAAAAGGAGTATAGGAAAAAGGAGTGTGTCATGGTTGAAGAATTTAAGGGACTGGTTTAAATGCAGTTCTATAGAACTCTTCAGAGCAGCAGTAGATAAAGTGAAGATAGTGATGATGATATCCAACCTCCGATTGGCAGACGGCACTTAAAGAAGAAGACAATTACAGAAGTTTTCAAAGATGTTAAGCTGTGAAGTTAAAGGCTTTTATGAAACCTGTATACAGTATCTTGAAAGATGAAGTGTACCTACAGGGAAGAGCCTAGAGGTTTTGCCGCCCGGCTGCAAGAACCAAATTTGCCGCCTCATCAGCAGTTTTGGAGAAGGTGTATAAGAAAACATCGCAAATTAGGGAAAATTAATAAAAACACAATTTTGAACATTTAAATCATAAAAATATATTTATTATATTTATATATAACACAGGGAAACAAGAAGATCTCCTACACTATAAAGAGAAGAAGAAAGAGTCAGACAAATGCTGCAAAAGAAAAAAGAAGAAATGGATCGAAGAATTACTGCAGGAACTCGAAGCCAATAGTAATGACAATGCAAGACTATACAAATACATAAAATCACAGAGAAAAAAAGAGATACCAGCAAATATTGGAAAAATAGAATGGGAAACACACTATAGAGAACTGTTTAAAAAGAAAGACGATGCTGAAAACGCAGAAAATGAAGAACAAACAGAAAATAGGAATGGAGAACAATCAGAGCCTCCCTCATACAGCGAACTATTGGCGACTATAAACAGATTAAAGACAAGGAAAGCAGCAGGACCAGACGATATTATAAATGAGTTCTTTAAGAATGGGGGAGAGAAACTAGCCCACAGAATCCACAACCTAATAGAACGAATATGGGAAGAAGAAAGCATGCCGAACGACTGGAATTGTGGTCTGATAACACCAATCCCTAAAAAAGGCGACAAGACGAAATGCACTAACTACAGGGGAATCACGTTATTAAATACAATGTACAAAATATTAACTAATTTGATCAGACAAAGAATAGAATAAGAAACTAGAACAAAAATAGGTGAATATCAACATGGATTCAGAGAAGGTAAGTCAACAATAGATGCAATACACATTGTAACGCAAATAGTCGAAAAAAGTTACGAGCACGGAATAGATCTACATATACTGTTTATTGACTACAAGCAAACTTTTGACAGTGTAATAAGGAAGGAGGTAATTAAGGATATGAATCAATTAGGCATCCAAGAAAAATTAATAAGTCTTACGAAAATGACGATGAAGGAATCCAAGGCACGAATCTTAACAAAGGAAGGCCCGTCAGATGAAGTACAAATGGAGGTAGGTGTCAGACAGGGAGAATCCCTGTCAACAACATTATTT